GATGACAGGGTTGCGCAGGCACGCGTGACCATGAAACTCAGCGAATATCTGTAAACTTCGCTCTAATTAGCATATAATTTAGGTGGATCTTCGGACGCTCCTCCTCATGTGAAAGCCTATGACACCGCGTTATCAGATGTGACCGAAAGATGGTCTGCTTTATCGAAGCAGATTGGCGGCGACGTTTCAACCATGGTAGAGTTGTTTCTGCCTATCATGTATCGCATCCAAATAATTTGTTTCTCAGAATGACAAAGTTATCCATGTGTTTGATACGCTGAGAAACTTTCTGTGGACCGCTGCAGGTCGCACAGAACCTACACCTGAAGAAGTTCAGAAACTCGTTGCTCCTATGGTCAGTCTTTTGTCGGACATCACTTCCTTCAAGGTAATCACATTGACAAATCGCTTCGCTTGCTTCTTTCATTCTATCTAATTAGGATTCAAAGCGCAATACACCGCAATTTAATCATTTGTGTGCGGTTGCCGAGGGAATTCCGGCTGTCGGTTGGGTTCTTGTGGTAAGTTGGTTCGTGTAGATGCTACATTCACAAGGAAAATATTGCTTTCAGAAGAAAACGCCGGCTCCATATGTCAAGGAAATGTTGGAGGCAGCCATGTTCTATATCAACCGCATCCTCAAAGAGTTCAAAGTATGTCAACCTTTTATTAAAATTACTGGTTCGTTCACTCGTACATCTGTCTGACATCTGTCATATCTAGGATGGCGATCAAAAACATGTGGAATGGGCCCGAACCTGGAAAGAGCTGCTGGAAACAATGCAGACATTCGTTAGGCAGTACCATACAACTGGCCTCACTTGGAACAGCGCTCCGGTATTTCCATCGCTTCTTTTTTCTAAATTTTCTAAATTTAGTAAATCTATGACCACTTTATAATGCTTATCAACAGCCCTCTTCTAGGTTTATTACAGCTGATGTATAAATTAGAATTTTTAAGGCTTTGGCTTGAGTGTGTTGATCATTCTAGATCACCTCTATCTTGGGATGTACAGTGGTGTCCGAGCACTTTTGTTTGGGAAGGGGCGGGGAAGGGGGAGGAGGAGTCCGAAGAAATTCTCTTGATGAGGCCGAAATCTATCCAGGATGCCTAATTTGGATCCGATCTCTCTCCTACTTTTTTATCCTCTGTCTCAAGCGTACACAACTCTTTAGAGTCTTATATTGTCTTGTATTGCAACAAAGCTGTAGCTGTGTCATCTGACATGGATAGGAAACGCAAATGCCCAGGGAGGGCAGTGATGGTAGTAGGTTTGGATGACAGGAATAAGAATGCGTTCATATTTTTGCCAAGAAGTACTTCAGAAATGTCATTGAAGACTACTACTGCGAAGCAAACTATGCAATCTACTGTTAAGGAAAGTTATAAACTTAAACTGGTATACAGATCCACGAAAATCTTGACAAAAATAGTTCTTGTCGGTACCGCCTTTATTCGCACTTGCGTGTAGCTAATTGGGATGTAGCAACCGTGCCATTTCCTGACGCAAGGCAGAGGGGCTAACATGGTGCCGTAAGATCAGTTTCTCGTGGTACGTGTAGATTATACGCGCGATCAACAAAGCTACTAAAATTTGATCACACAATAAGTGTGCGTAGTGCACTTTTGAACCTCTCTTCTATAATGACATAGTTGTTTAGGGTTGCGGGGCTCCGTCATCCGAAAATCGCAGCGCGACTGCTGACCATGCTCCGGCCGGCGGTCCTCCTGCTCCACCTCCTCCGCCTCCTCCATGTTGGTTTCCCTTTTGTTTATGAAGCATGTGAATGTTAGAAGTCGAGAATGTAGGCAAATCATGAGTTTGGATGCTTGTATCGGGAAATCGTGAATGTATCTTCAGAAAGCAATATCAATTTTGTGAACCATTATGAAGGAAGGAGATAGGAATATCTTGGTTTGATCTTGGTAGTAAGATGATGTATGCCAGGAATATCTTGGTTTGTGGTAGTAAGATGATGTATGCCTT